CCCCCCCCCCCCCCCCCCCCCCCCCCCCCCCCCCCCCCGTACTAGGGTAGAACCCAGGGTCACTATACCTCTGAGTTACATACCTAAACTGTGCTCGAACTTGCAACCCTTCAGCGCTGGCCCTGCCCCTACCCCCCGATTCCCCTTGCTGAGATTACAGGCCGCACCACCACGCCCAGACCAGTTCTCTCCATCTTTGTGTTTGTGTGTGTGTCCGAGTCCCCAAGCCTTTTAAGGGTAAAAATACCCTGCCATTTTGTTTGGTTGGGAAAGTGGCTAGGAAAGACACTGGTAATTACGGCTGGCACTCACTTCTGCCTGGTCATGCTGGATAATTGTGGTTGGGTAGAGACCACACTAACTGGCGCTAGAAGCCTGCTGCAGGACAGTAAAGCCAGGCTTCCTGAGAGAGACTGCACTGGACTCCCTTGCTGAAGATTTTCATCTGTGATACAACTGCTGTTGTTTCCAGTCTTTTCTTCCTGTTTCCAACCCAGAATTTGAGGTTTGAAAAGGAAGGCATGACTTTTTTTTTTTTTTTTTTTAAACAGGGTCTCACTATGTAATTGAGACTGACCTGGAACTCACTATGTAGCTCAGGCTGGTCTCGAACTCAAAGCGATCCTCCTGCCTCAATCTCCTGAGTGCTGGGATTACAGGCGTGTGCCACCACGCTTGGCTCTAGGCATGACTGGTTTTTGAGGACAATGGTTCCTGAAATTCACTTTCCTATAGACATCCCTTAGGGAGGGACGCTGTAATCACCCTGGGATTCTCTTTTGCCCATCCTTAGGGCCTAACCTGCCAGTAGGAGGAGGAAATTGGTTCAGTCTGGTTTTAAGTGCCCTCCTGGATTAAAAGGCACCATTCCAGCTCAGCAGTGGGCTCTAAAAAGCAGCCTGAAGTGTAAATAGTCTGGCATCTGCAACATCCATACCCTGCCCATTGTCAAAGAACTTGGACTAGGCCAGAGATCTGGCTCAGTGGCAACGTGCCTGCCTTGTTAAGTGCAAGATTCTGAGTTCGATCCCTGCACTGGGGAAAAAAAATTTTTTTTTGGACTGGGTGACTCGAGTGGAATTTTTCTTTCATTTGGGTAAATGTGTCACGGTCCAGTGCCGTTGTGACAGATGGAAAAATCCTATGTAGGGCACGCAGCAGCCTATCAGGCACGTGGAAGGGGGGACTCCGAGGGGCCGTCTGGCAACAATGGGTTGATATGAACCCATCTCACCTCTCGGTGAATTATTCATTGGCACTTCCTGGAAAGTAAGTTCCTGCTTGAATAGCCCGGTCGAAAACCGCAGAGTTCACCAGCAAGGGTGAGAAGCTTGCTGCAGCAACGGTTCTCGGCGCGCGTCCCCCGGGCCCAGGCGCAGCGTTAGGTCCGGGGGGGGGGGGGG